CCTAAGGAGGATTTTATTTGGGCTGGGGTGAATGTGAGATGGCTTTCTTTTGTCAGGAGATAAATGAGCTGTCTCTTGGTCACTCCTTCAAACCGGGCCTGGGGACAAATCCCTAAAGACAGCGAGGGAAGATCTGTGCATCAACGTGTCCTGATTAAAGCAGGATCACTGCAAACGCTAGAAGAATTTAGTGCAACAGCTGAAAGTGCTTTGGGTTTACAGGAGGAATACGAGAAATGGCTCTGAATGCAGAGGACATTGAGAAAGGTATCCTGCTGATGAAGTTTTGTCTTGTTTAAAGGGGAAAGAACAGGCATTAGATTACATTAGACATGTTTTATTGTGTGCTCAGTTCGAATGTCTGAATGGCATTGCTTGTGCTCTTTCATTATAATCAACTTAACAGTATTGCCATATTATTGGAAACACTTTACTTGAAGGGGTGTGCATAAGACTGACATGACACCTTCATAATCATGACATGATATGTGTCTTGAATATGAAGTATGCATGTTTATGACAACTCATTTAGTGTCTTTCGCTCAATAATGACGTTTTGAATGCAAATATCACTTAAATATTGTTTAAGATGTCTTATTACATATTGACATAAACCAATACATCATAACCTGTCAGTGTCTTTGTCATGACAATTATTAATAATAAACAACATGTATTATAACAATTTACAAGAAAAAATATGTTTTTGTGAATAGGTTTTGACATATAGACAATGTCTTTTATTTAATATTATTTTTTGCTAAAATAATATACCATCTTTTACCTCCACCAACTCAAAATCAATTTCACTGTGCAATCTTTGGTTTTATATTGTTGTTTTTTTTAAATTATTATTATATTGTCATTTACAATGTACAAATCAAGTCTTACTCTCTAACTTAATTCAAATATGTTTGATCAATTATAATAAATGAAACAACTTCAAGAAAAGTTATACACTCAGAAAAAAGGTATAAGCTGTCACTGGGGCTGTACCTTTTCAAAAGGTACACTTTTGTACCTTAATGGTACATATTAGCACTTAAAATGTACATATTAACACCTTAAATGTACATATTAGCACCTAACATGTACATATTAACACCTAAAATGTACATATTAGGACCTAAAATTGACATATTAACACCTAACATGTACATATTAGGAATTAAAATGTACATATTAGCACATAAAATGTACATATTAACACCTAAAATGTACATATTAGGACCTAAAATTGACATATTAGCACGTAAAATGTACATATTAGCACCTAAAATTTACATATTAGCACGTAAAATGTACATATTAGCACCTAAAATGTACATATTAACACCTAAAATATACATATTAGGACCTAAAATTGACAGACTAGCACCTAAAATGTACATATTAGGACCTAAAATTGACATATTAGCACGTAAAATGTACATATTAGCACCTAAAATTTACATATTATCACGTAAAATGTACATATTAGCACCTAAAATGTACATATTAACACCTAAAATATACATATTAGGACCTAAAATTGACATACTAGCACCTAAAATGTACATATTAGGACCTAAAATTGACATATTAGCACCTAAAATGTACATATTTGCACCTGAAATGTACATATTAGCACCTAACATGTACATATCAGGAATTAAAATTGACATATTGACACCTAAAATGTACATATTTTAATCATAATTTATTTTAGTAGTCTTAAAATAAAATATGAGTATCATTGCTTTTTTTTAACAGAAATGTGAACATATGCTAATTTTATAGTCATTTACAATGCTTCATAAAACAGTGATTCAAAATAGTGATTATGTGAGTTGCTGGAACTATTTTATGGGGATTTTCGTAATGTTTTGATTTTCATAATTCATCCATTCACTGTAATTGTGTGGACAAGAGCGAGCTGTAACAAATTTGTCCTTTTGTCTTCTATAAGAAGGAAATATATACAGGTTTGGAACAAAAATCAGTTTTTAAGGTTGAACTATATTGCTTTAGGAACAAGAGTTGAGTGAATAAGTGAGTAAAATGAGCCTGCGAATGTCAGAGAATCCCTGATGTCTCTCGAAGGGCTGTAAATTGCAAGCACAGTGGAATAGACTCTCAGTTTTGGAGACACGAGTGCATCGTGGCCGCTTCTCAATTACATTCACCCAGTGAAGGGTAACACAAATGTTTCGGATGCAGAGGAGATGCTGGCGGCACTGAAGGAAAGGCATCATTGGTCTCGGGTCTGCAGCGAGAAAGACCCGTCTTGTCACGGTAGATGGAGGAGATAGATGTGATTATTGAATGATAAAGCGTCTCATGTTCTCCAACAAATGAGCACAAACAGAGGCGTGCCAGAATTTCTGATGCTCTTCTGCGCAGTCAGACTTACTGCATTTAATGTGTGTTTGTTTGCATTGAGATGCTCAAACTGACTAAATCATCTGAACTGACATTATACATTATGAACATTTATTATACATTATTTAATATTTATATTACTTTTAAATATATTGTATATGTTATTACAGTGTTATACCCATGCAAAAAAAAAAAAAAAAGATTCTGCATGATTTACATTTTTAAGTATAATCAACTTGGTTGTTTAAAGGGATAGTTCACTTTGAAATTAATTTTCGATATATTTTTGGTTACCTCAAGGGCATCCAAGATGTAGGTGTCTTTGTTTACGCAGTAGTTTCAATTTTGATATTTTTAGGTCAAACCGTTCATATAATGGAGGTCTATGGTCACCACCTCAAAGAGCATGCACAGAGAAGTCCAAATTAAACATGACTTAGTGACTCGTAAATGTAAGTACACATTGATGGCCTAAGACACGGAACGAGCGGTTTGTGTGAGAAAACGAACAGTATTTATACAGTTTTTACAAGTGGTAAAAGCAAGACGTTTTAACAAGAGGTAAAAACGATATAAATACTGTTCGTTTTCTCACTGTTCGCTTGTTTCGTGTCTTAGGCCATCAATGTGTACTTACATTTACGAGTCATTAAATCATGTTTAATTTGGACTTCTCTGTGCATGCTCTTTGAGGTGGTGACCATAGACCTCCATTATATGAACGGTTTGACCTAAAAATATCAAAATTCTAAATATTGCGGAAACAAAGACACCTACAGTACATCTTGGATGCACTTGAGGTAAGCTAAAACATTCCAAAAAATAATTTCATTTCATAATTACATTTAACTGACTAAAATAATAAGTTGAATCTTGTATAACTTGTATTACTTAAAATAGTTTATTTACTATTTGTCATGTGTTGTCATAACTTATTAATCATATAAGCGTGGTTGAAAATATTGCAATGCAACTACTAAGGTATTTGATGTTGTTGTTATGCTGTTGCTAGGGTGTTCTGTGGTTTCTAGGTGTGTTCTTATTGGACTGACCCCATGCATCGCTCTTTCAATGTAAGTATATGGCATTTTTTTTCACCCCTGCACAGCATGCAAATGCATTGTCAAAACTCTGGATTATATCCACATGCATCTAAATAATTAATAATGTCATATATTTTTGCAGTACAAAGCCTGTAACTTTTGGCAGATGGCTTGAGCGTCAACAGCACTGACCTTCAGTTCTCAGGTGATGTCGGCAGGAACGTTGCAGAATCTTGCATCATGCTCACTGAAGAAAGGCAGACCAAATTGTAAAGTTGCGCTACCTCAGGATTTCTCCTGAAAAATCCCATTTTAAACGACAGAATCATTTCACAGAGTAATTGATTAAAAAAAATGAGAGTTGCATTAACAGGAGAAGATTAACTTCCTACACAAGCAGCATTTTAAAGCATCGTAGGTGCATCCATGATCCAATCCCAGAATGCATTGTGAGTATATATTCTTATGCAAAAAATATATGTCTACAATGGCACACATGAGACAGTTATTGATTATTAATAATTAATGACTTTTGATTGCAACCTAGTGGATTTGTGATAGCTTTAGAGGAAAAACGTGAAATTTCTGGTGTTTTTGTTTCAGGAAACTTAAAACAAGTAGGCATTGAATATATGATTTAGAAGTCATTTTCCATTGAGGTATTAATATTTGGGTTGTTTTCTTTATTAAGCACTATGTTAACGTTCAATGTTTTAATGTCACTCTACACTGCTGTATTATTTAATTAATTTAGTGAATCGATTTAATTGACTGATTTGTGCAGAAAATGAGTCACTGATCAAATAAATGATTCACCGAATCATTTAAACCCCTGATTCTTCTGCTGTTTTTCATGTTTCTGATTAATACACTCTCAGAAATAAAGGTGCAAGATCTGTCACTGGGGCTGTACCTTTTCAAAAGGTTACCTTTTTCCATTTTAGGTGCTAAAATGTACACTTTAGGTGTTAATATATACATTTTAGGTGCTAATATGTACTTTTAAATTGCTAATAAGTACTTTTTAGGTGCTAATATGTACTTTTTAATTGCTAATATGTACATTTTACGTGTTAATGTACATTTCAGGAGCTAATATGTCCATTTTAGGTGCTAATATGTACATTTTGGGTGTTAATATGTACATTTTAGCTATTAATATGTATCTTTTAGGTGCTAATATGTACATTTTAAGGGTTAATGTGTACATTTCAGTAGCTAATATGTCCAATTTAGGTGCTAATATGTACCGCAAGGTAGCAACATGCAGCCTAAAGTGTACCTTTTGAAAAGGTACAGCCTCAGTGACAGCTTTTGTACCTTTTTTTCTGAGAGTGTATAATATAGATATTTAGTAGCTAATACTAAAGTAACATATTTTTTTACTGGTGATATTTATTGGAAATTAGCTTAGTTCTGTTAGTTTCAAAATAGTTTCACTCAATATCTAATCTGCATTTTGACTATTTATAGCTAATGTGCAGCGATTCAGTTCAAATAAATATTATCATTATAAGCCTGAAGTTTCAGACAGATTCAAGAGTCACTTTCTTCCGAGGCACGTTTCCAATCACACTTTAATCTGGCAGTCGATTAATCGCTTTAATTGTCTCCAGCGTGCCACAGATCAATCTCACAGCCGTTTCAGATGTGCTCAAATCAGAACACACACCTAATCACCGGCAGCAATTATTAAGCAGACCGCATGCAGAAACGACTTCAGTGGACATAAATACGCAAAGACTCCGGTGAAAAGAGACGGTAAAGTCATTTAACTTTTGTGGTGGAGACATTGTAAAGATGAAAGCACTTACGTGAAGAGATTCATTTGGATGGTGCTCATTATTCCCTCGGTCAAATGAATAAAACATCTATAGGCTATAGTAAGAATTAGTGAGTGAACTTTTGAGGTGATTTGTTCATGATCATATCTAGCATGCAGCCTCTGGTTTTTGACCCACAAATCCGAAATGGAGGACTGGACATATGCTTATGCAAAACTTTTTTAGTTGAAATTTCACATTTTACCTCCAAGCTCCAACTTGGAAATGTGTGTGCTTACGAACATCGTTTTCACTACCTGCATTAAGTCAATATTTTTGGTCCAATAAGACATATTTGCGTGGTTTATGACTATAAAAAGTATGGTTTCATGAATAATCATTAAATATCTGCTCCAGGCTGAGGAGGATGTGTAGTTTTTAGAAATGTAATCTCATCTGATTTATGATGACATGTATATCAGCTTGCAATCAATCCCAGTGAGATATGTTTAAATGTGAGGAACAAGTGGGGTTTTTGTGTGTGTGAGAAACATTATAAACGTGAATGTTGGCAGAATTTCTTATTTTGGGTGAACTATTCATTTAAAATGAACACATTGTGAAATCCATAGAAAAGATTTTTTTTTTCTTTTTTGTGTGATTTGGCATTTACATGACCTGCTTTTTTGGAGCATTGGAAACTCAAACTTTTGAAAACGGGTTTGAAAGTGAACGTTTTTTTAAAAAAAATATACCATTATCATAGGCTAGTCATGATGGTATATTTTTCAAAAAAACGTTCACTTTGAAACCCGTTTTCAAAAGTTTGCTTTTCCAGTGCGATATATATATATATATATATATATATATATATATATATATATATATATAACGCACTGGAAAAGCAAACTTATATAGTGTATATATATATATATATATATATATATATATATATATATATATATATACATATATATAAACCACGAATTTTTTAAACCTGTGACGTCATGTGCATTTGTATTAGGTGTTCAGTCGTGTGTCTTTTAATTAAAAAAATAAAAAAATAAAATAAAAAAAAGTCGTGTGTCTCTTTACAAAGTGACATCGCCAACTACTGACCAGAGAGCGGAATACAGCCCTTTTTAAAGACGTTTTCGCGGATCGGTTTGACAATGTTGTTGTCGAAAAACTTTCACATTTTTAGGCTATATATTGTTGTTATGTAAAAAACGATCCCCATTCACACATGAACACAACTAAAAGCGCTGTATTCTGCTGCCAGGCCGTTAGATGGCAATGAAACTCTGTATAGGCTACTATACGCATTTGCATGCATTACGTCGTCGTTTCAGAGATTTAAGGTTTCGTTTTGTACACAAACTCTTCAAAATTTTGCACTTTGAAACCTGTTTTAAAAAGTTTGTGTTTTCAGCAACCCAAAACGCCATTGTCGTGTAAATGAACGAATAAAACGCATCATGTTTTACGTTTTTAGTTGAAAATGGTGTCGCGTAAACAGACCCTTAGGCCTACCCTTAATTTAACTAAATTTGCAGCGGATACATTTGATTTGATTGCATAAGGTTATACGTGTACAAGAAATGCATTACATGCAATGCTACATTTTCTAAACGTCATAATCATTTGTTATCAATCAAGTATTCATTGCTTAAATTAGCTCATTATTTCTGCCTTAAATGCATTGTTTAAAAATGCATTTTTATCTAACTGTGATTTTGTACTGTGATTGTAACACATAAGAGATGACTAAATTGTATGTGGACATTTTCTGTAAAGCTGCTTTGAAACGAGGAGTGAAAAACGCTACAAATAAATGTGAATTGAATTATTAGGTGTGATTGCAATATGAGTAGCTATATTTACATTTATGCATTTATCAGACACGTATGTCCAAAATGACTTACAAAAAAGCAACAAAGACAATTAGTCAAAGAGCCAACAGTAATTGCACCATCCAGTAACATTAATCAACAGATATTTAATAAGACACACTTGGACTGCTTGAAGGGCCTTCTTGTGAATGTGAAAGTGCACTCTTGAAGGCACTTGAGTGTATCAGGATATCTGCTGAGGATTATGAGATCATAATCAAATGCCTGTTGTTATACTACTGTTATCTGAATTGTCAAAGATAACCATCTTGAGTTTTTTTATGTGCACTTCTGAGAAGAAAAAAAAATCAATGTGGTGGGGACTTTCAAATTCTGAGATATTGATCAGTTTTCTCTCTATACTTGAATAACCTTGACAGATATTTATTTAATCTACATGTATATGCTTTTATCCAAAGCAATTCTTAATGCATTCAAGGTGTACATTTTCTGCATCTTACCATTGCTTTATTGTCTAAGCTACACAAATGTTACTCATAGTCAAGTCAAGTCACATTTATTTATATAGCGCTTTTCACAATACAGATTGTATCAAAGCAGCTTCACAGTGATAACATGTAAGTAGCACAACACAGATCAACAACTTTGCTAAACACTAAATAGCATTAAAAAAATACCATGCACCACGGTACACTAGAAAATAACCGGTAAACACTATTGTTTTACTGTCTGATGATACTAAACCATAAAGAATAAAGACCCCGTCTGATGATACTGCCACGGTGTCAAGAAAATGTGAGATTGATGATCCTTTGAGTTGAGACACACAAGATGCAAAGTGTTTGTCATCTTACATCTGGCTCCTCTTATGAGAAAAAGCTCCTAGTTTGAGAGATGATAGATGTATGTAGTTGCTACAGCGGCATGCTATGGCAAATCTGTCTAAATTAAATAAATTGAGGCAAATGAACCAAAGCTCCAGACAATTTATCATTATTTTTCCCTCCTTCTCGCTTATCATGGTTGCTGCGGGAACATACAGAGGTAAAATCATATACACTATGAGTATAGCTAGTCAAGTGTTTAGTGCATTATACAATACAGATTATTTCAAAGCAGCTTTACAGAGATGAACAGGAAGATTGATTCAAACAGGGTAGAAATAAAAGAAAAAAAATATTGTTCAGATGAATTCAGTTCAGTGTTGATTCAGTTCTGTTGTAAAGATTATTAAACTAGTTTAATTCGACTATGAAGCAGCTGTGCGGAAAATGGTGATGTCATCGTCCAGTTCTCATCAAATAGTCATAGACGGAATTATGTCACAAAATAAATAAAAAATCAAATAGTATGACATATAAACCCTCCACAAAGCATGAAACATGGCAAAATGATTTTAAGTAGATGTTTGGGCTTCTCAATATGCACTACCAGTCAAAAGATTATGATTTCCCACAGTTTAACTCTAGTGTAAATTAAAATGGTTTCACACACACATGATGTAGGCCTAAGCATTCCCCATAATTTTTCAAACACGATGTAAGCTTTATTCATTCCCCATAATTTTTCATTGAAGACCAGTTCTTCAATTTCTGGAGTCACAACATTTTAAATATTTAATCAAATATATCAATATTTCTATGTTGAACAAATGTAGAATCCAAAAGGTGGACAACCGCTGGACTAAAAAGCAATTCTACTCTTTTAGACTTCAGTACTCGATAATGACCAGGAGAGGGAGCCACTAAAGTGAGGCATTCCCACTGTGATCAGTGTCTCACACACACACTCACACTCAACTGTAGAAATTAACTCGCATCAGCAGCGCGGTTTCATACATTTAGCTTTGTGCTTAACATATTTGAGGTCTTAATTTCTTCATTATATTTTTTTTAACATTGTGTTGCTTGGAGTTCATTTCTTAGTTTATGCATTTAGACACTCACTCGTTCGTTTTATACAGGAATCGATTTCTTATTATTATATTGTAGGCTAAAAATAGCTTTAAATACCTCATTGTTTCTGCCTAAATGTGATATTAGCTAACTGTATGACTTGCTAATTGTATACATTTCTGACATAGCTATGGACAGATTAGGCTATAGGCTACTTGGTTTATCAGTCACCTAAAACAGATTGATCTAACATTTATAAAGCAATTTATGTCAATTATGTCGGCTATCGTGAATAAATGTGAATTGTGTTGTATTATTAAATAAAAAAATAGTCTGTGAAACGGATTTGAGATATTTCAACAGCAAATCGCATCAATCATCGATGGCAGTGCTATATTTTACACTTATCACTGAATCGCCAAGTAAAACTTAAATTACAACTAAAGCTTTGAGTGTTATCATGTAATGTTACTTGTGGAGTTTACAATCTTAAAAATAAATATTTCATTCTGGTCTTTTTAAGCAAGGCTACTTTTTAAGTTTTGAACATTTTAGAAACTAAATGCTGATCCGATGAACCTAATTCAGAATTCACATACTTGCAACTCGAGACAAGAGTTATTCAATATACATTCCCACAGCCTGCAAATGTCTGATACTGCAGCTTATGAGTGAATATCCCTTTTGGGAAAAAAAGAGAGTGTGTTCATTGGGTGTTATTGTAAACAAACAGCATAGTGTTGTAATACTGTACTGGACCACTGGGTGGTAGTAAAGTGTTTTAGTAAGCTAACTTAAAGGTATAGTTCACCTAAAAGTGAACATGTTTTCATAATTTACTCGTTTCACATATCTATGGCTTTCTGTTGAACCATAAAAAATATATTTTGAAGAATGTTGGTAAACAAAAGTTGAAAATTGACAGTCATCAATGGGTAGCTTCAACTGTCTGAGCCATTGACCATTCAAGCTTATACAACTTAAACTTAAAACGGGATATATGTATTAAATGTATTATGTATTAAATTTAAAACGTTATTTATGTATTAAATGAGTGATCTTTTCGCTTGATAAGACCCTTATTCATCGTCTGGAATCGTTTAAAGCCCTTTGAACAGTTTGCAGTTTGCACTGAAACTGTCTTTTGGACCTTGAACCGTTTGGACCCCATTGAAGTCCATTATATGGAGAAAAATCCTGGAATGTTTACATCAAAAACCTTAATTTCTTTTCGACTGAAGAAAGAAACGCATGGATATATTGGATGACATGGGGGTGAGTAAATTATCAGCAAAAGTTTTTTTGTTTTTTTTTTTTTTTTTTTTTTTCAGTTCAAGTTTATTGTCATCCATATTAGTATCACAGCAATGCAATACAATGTGCCTTGGCACTCTCTCCAGTCAACATGACAATTATAATAACATCCAAACTAAGCTTAAACCTCAACCCTCCTCCCTGTTTAACTATCATTCAGTGCCTTATTACCCGAGGGACAAACTATCCCTGAAACATGATGTGTGCGTCGGGATGCTCTGCTAACATCTCCCATGGAAGTGAAGAGATTGTGTGTAGGATGACCAGAATCCTAAATGATACCGAGTGCCTTCTCACTGCTGCGTTTCCAGTAAATGTTTTAAAGTGGTTCAAGTGGTTCATCATTTTAGATGCAGTCATGACCACATTTATCTAAGGTGACCAAGTCCTGTCATGGCCTGTTTTGTTTATAAAGTGATGAAAATGTCCCGGTTTTCAAAAAACTGCTGAGATCAGCTCTACAGCAAAATATAGATGGGCAAACCAGGAGGATGAGGAAGAAAGACAGGATAAAGAGGAAGAAAACTAACGATATGAATATATTTAGTTCGTTTTTAAAGTTTGTGAGGGCTATTTTTGTTCAATTTGCTTTAGTTATTTATTATTTCTACATATATTTTTTTCTAATACAGAAGAGACATTATTTCTAAACTCTTAGAAAAAAGGGTTCATTGGGGTTCTATATATGAAGCGTAGGGTTCTTTACTCGACTCCAAAGAACATTTTATGCTAAACAAGGTTCTATAATGACAAGAAAGAACCCTTTTGGCTCAAAGGTTCTTCATAGGCTATTATTCATTCATATATTACATTATTCTGCAACATTTTGTAGTTGTAATTAAATTATTGATTATTAAACTGTTGTGGTAACTTAAAAAGGAGTTCATTTAAAAAAAAAAAAAAAAACTTTTTCTGATAATGTACTCACCCCCATGTCATCCAAGAAGTCCACGTCTTTCTTTCTTCAGTCGAAAAGAAATTAAGGTTTTTGATGAAAACATTCCAGGATTTTTCTCCATATAATTGACTTCAATGGGAACCAAACGGTTCAAGGTCCAAAAAAAACAGTTTCAGTGCAAACTACAAACTGTTCAAAGGGCTTTAAACCATTCCAGAAGGTGAATAAGGGTCTTATCAAGCGAAAAAATTAACAAATTTTTTCCAGAGTCAACTCGTTCATTTCATTCCTTGAATGAACCAAATGACATGAAAAAAAGATTTGTTCCTTTTGATAAACGAGTTCGAACAGGAGAGTCACAAACGCGCATCACAGAACAGATGAGCTTATAAACTTAAACTTTTTTTTTTTTTTAATGAGCGATTGTTTAGCTTTAAGACCCTTATTTATCATCTGTAATTCTTTAAAGTGCCCTTTGAACTGTTTGCAGTTTGCACTGAAACTGTCTTTTGGACCTTGAACCGTTTGGTTCCCATTGAAGTCCATTATATGGAGAAAAATCCTGGAATCTTTTCATCAAAAACCTTAAAGGAGTAGTTCACTTTTAAAAAAAACTTTTGTTGATAATGTACTCACTCCCGTGTCATCCAAGATATCCATGTCTTTCTTTCTTCAGTCGACCATATAATGGACTTCAATGGGAACCAAACGGTTCAAGGTCCAAAAGACAGTTTCAGTGCAAACTGCAAACTGTTCAAAGGGCTTTAAATGATTCCAGACTATGAATAAGGGTCTTATCAAGCGAAACGATCATTCATTTAAAAAAAAAAGTTGAACACCCCACATGCTAAAACGAAACGATTAAAGTTAGACATTGATAGAAACAAGTTCAAATAAAAAAACAAAACATCAGCTGGAATTCAATAATTTTTTAATGCACTTTGCATTAATACAAACAACAATAAAATAGAAATTGTGGCTATAAAAAAATGCACCTTGATATTTGACTGGTAAACATTTCTTTTGCTATTTTCCTTTGACTCAGTCATATAAAGCAATATTTTTGCTTCAAATAAAAACAATTTATTTTGTTACAACATGACAGTTTTTAGGGCACAACTGGTTATTTTTTCGTTACACATATATCACGAAAATGAACTGGCATGAGGTAAAAATACATTATTACACCCAAAATATGATTCAATCAAATGATGTGAATAATACAACAATATTTATTACAGTGTACATAAAAAAGATATATATATATATATATATATATATTGTGAACTATGACAGAGCAGCAAACATTGCATTTACAACTACTTGCACTCTAAACATTTCTGGGTTGTTTTAACCAAAATTTTGGTCAAATATAGACAACAGCCATAGGGTTAATTTTTTTTAATTACATTTTAACCCAACATTTGGGTTTGTCCACATTTGCCCCAAAGTTGAGTTAAAACAACCCAGAATTTTGAGAGTGTGTAAAACAATATTTGAAGTGGCTTGGCAGAAACTCGCAAGAACAATTAAATGCTCTGTAATTTGTTTGTTTTTGTACATCTGGAAAAATAAAATAAAAAAATGCTTCTCCTGAAGATTATCTCCATCCTCAAATGATTTTGCGTAAATGAAAAACAGCTTCACTTCTAATGCCACACTAAAAAAATGTAAGCCGTTGGGTTACATTTATAAATAGCATTTTTAATCCAACAATTGGGTTTGTCCATAAAAAACCCAGATTTTTAGAGTGAATAGTTGTCTGTTTAAAATCGATACTATTAGAAATTGTAATGATGCTCACTTAGTTTTGAACAAGAAAATAATATAATCAAAATCTTCACCTATAAAATGCTGGGTTGTTTTAACTCAATTTTGGGTCAAATATGGACAAACCCAAACGTTGGATTAAAAATGCAATTTAAAAATGTAACCCAGCAGTTGGGTTTGTCCATATTTGACCCAAAATTGAGTTAAAACAACCCAGCATTTTTTTTTTTTTTAGAGTGTATTAAACATAACTCCAAATTAGTTAAAATAATAAATGCATCTGAACTTTAAACCCTTGAATAATCTCCATGCTTAAATAAATAATGTAAAACAACTACCGGAAAGTTTATAGCCATTTTTCATCTCTCTAAAAAGCTGTTTTGTTGATCAGTTGATCTGGCTAAGAAAGCCCGGGTGGTGTGCGTGTGAGATTTCTCAGATGAATGGACTGTGGTAGAGCGAGGTGAGTCTGTTGACCTCGGGTCACCAACACTGACAAATCCTGCCTTGCTATTTCAACACAACAACAAAAAAAAAAATGTGGCAGGCCCCCTGAAGTGGGAGGAGTCTGCTGCCATTTTAAGAGAGGAGGAAGATACAGTGAGAGAGTAAAGCAACAAAAAAGGGAGGGTTTTAAGGAACATCCTGGTCCTTCTTCCTGCTTCACATGCTGGATTTTTAAACTTCCTTCTTCTTTATCCTCTCTTCCTCGCTCTTTATTTCTCATCTCCGTCTACTTTTATTTTCCTTTCTCAGGACCATAGGAGTGATTTCTCTCACCCCCTCCCCTCTTTTCTGTTTCCAGGTCTGTGAGCTTCATATGTCCACCCTCCTTCCTTCCTTCCCTCCCTCCAAAATGGAATTGCATCCTTTGTCCAGAGACACAGGGGAACGGGGTGTTGACCAAGAGGCAGCCTTAAGCCGAATGTGACCCCCACGCCCGTGAGGCCTGAAACCTGCCCCCATTGAGCCGAACGGCCCCGCTCTCAAAGTAGTGAATTGGGGTGGGGGTTGGGAAGGTTACGAGCCAGCGATCAAGCGCCAGATCTGCTCACTCCAACACTTGTGTCTCAAGACTTTCTGACGAACAAAGACGAAAACATGCATTGCTTTATCAAAGGGAATTCCAATTTGACTTCTCAAGTTAACATGAACGCATTATGTTTGAACAATACAGCAGATGCACATCATGTGTCTCTTTCTCTCTTTGAATATCTTGGAATCATGAACTGAAAACATGACAAACAAACAATACAAAAGGGACAAGGGTTGCAAAAACAAACATTATTCTTACACTCTGTTTTGACCCAAACCCAGCCTTTGGGTTACATTTTTAAATGAACATTTGGGTTTGTCCATATTTGACCCAAAATTGGGTTAAACCAACCCAGAAAACAGTAACACTTTACAATGAGGTTTCATTAGTTAACTACATGTTTTTAATTTGTTAAATAAAATTGTTTCTATGGAAATTGCCCCTTATTAAGCCCCTTGAGGGGTTTTCGACAATTGTCCATCACATCTAATAATGAACTGCACTTCCACAGCATGCGTTCGTTAATACCTGAAACAAACTATGAACAGCTGTTCGATTAATAAATACTTTAATAAATGTATCGCTGCAGTGTTAATTAATACGAATCCGTATTGTAAAGTTTTACCAAATAAAATAAAAGAATTTAATTATTTACATTTAATCGTTATTTATACAATGGTGTAATGCTCATATAATTTAATGCTCTCGTTTCTAATTTCATGCTATGAGTATAATTTAGGCTATTTGTTGACTGAAAAAAATTATAATCATGGAGTTATTAAAGGAGAGAAAAATGTATGTTTGTTACTATTATTTTTATTATTCACGTTACTTTAAAAAAAACTTTATGTATATTGTTATATTAAAAATGTCCTTACTCTCTGAAAACTGCATTCTAGCTAAGGCATTGATCTATAATTTAATATTGATTTATAATAAATACCATTTAATGCACTGATTTCTGAATATAATTTCTGATCTGATCAATTGAAGATAACCAGTTTGACAAGGAAAGGAAAAGTTATATTCTTTACTCAATACGTTTTATTAGTAGGCTAATTTTTTATGATCCGCTTTTTTAAATCGTGTGTATAGCCTATAGAAATTGTGCATTCACTGATATCTAACGCATTGATCTATAATTTAACATTGATTTATAATAAATATAATTTGATGCTCTGATTTCTAAATTTTTCATCCACTGAAAATAACCAAAGAGGTAGAGTATTCATTACTCAATACATTTTATTAATATCTTTCTGTTATATTAAACACATTATATTATTGCATTGATTTATGATATATCTGCCTTTATCAAAAAGTTATTTCTATCCGACTTATTAACATTATTTAAATGTAAACATTTTAGTTTTATATTGAAACGTCACTTGTTTTTCGCTTCTCAGTTTTGACTATGATTTTCTTTACTATTATTATTATTGTTATTATTTATCGCACGACTAATAGGGACATCTAAACGCCCATGCCTGTTTCCTTTTCTTTTTCTTAGGCCAATGCTTTCTTTTCGATTGGTTGGAGGACTAAAGATCGGAAGTAGTTTATTTATGCTAATGAGGAATTGGGGGTTGTAGATATTTACGTTCAACGGGAGCCGCCCTTCATTCACCCACATGGTTCACGGCAGGTCGCGTTCGCGCCACTTTTGCATTTTTACTATGATCAAGAAAGTCGTTTTACCAGAAGTTTCATTTCGCTTTGCACGCGCGCCGCGAGCGTCGCACTCGATCGCGGTCCTACTTTTAAGTTTACGCACCAGTTTCGCAGATTTGTCCAGAGCTGTGGCTGTAAACGGCAAGTGAGTGAAGATGGTGGATTTCACTGGTGAGTGTCTTACTGTGCGTTATTGACTGGGAACCTGTTGTTAATTTTTTCTCGCTTTTAGTCTCCCAAACTAGATCGCGTTTTCCCGCTTAAACGCGTGCGAGATGTTTTCCGCGCATGATTTCGTAACTCGGCTATTGCAAGCGGCGACGGTGGTGAGACAAACAATGTAGTAAGTGGCGCATGGTAGTCCTCTCCACCTCCATAGTTGTGGAGAATGTGGGAGATTTGAAAAGCATGCTTGGTGCAATGCAACTACCAACTATTTAATTTCACCACACGCCTGCGCGATGTGCGTTAATTCGCATCATTAATACGCGTTCGCGTTGTGGAATGCGAATTAAGTTGTTTTTAGACTTGTAGAGTGATGTTTTCTCGTTCTGTTGCGCGTGCGAGTTAAAGTGCCTCCAGAACAAAGCAGTAGCACATGGGGGGATGCGTAGGCCGCGCGCGCACAGGCTAGCTTAGCAACGGCGCGCGGGACAAAAACACCCCTCTTTGTGCGATTACGTTTTGTTTTAAGTTAAAGATTACGTGTGAAATGTTGAAATTTTATTAAAGTCAATCCTCTTGTTGGGTTTTAGTCAAGATAAGTTTAAACGGGGAATGGATGGAGCTAGCCTGCTCTAGCTATTGTAGTTTAACTGCTAACTTGGCTAGTTTCACTTCGTGTAAATAACACTAACACCATTTTTGGTTGACGTTAAAACATTTCGATGTTTTTAATATGTACTGAATTTGTGTTTAAGACGGAATCCTAGCCAGCTACCTTAGCATTGGCTGCTAACGCTGTCCTCAATATCGATTGTACGCGAAATCAACAGCGCGCCACTTTATTTCCCAAACCCGTTTTGTTGTTTATACCTGTTTGACACATGAAACTTATTATTTGTTGTTTATCATACTAGTTTTTATGCGAAGAATGATCCGGTTCGTGAACTCAACGGCGCCATGTTAGTGCAGAATGTTTCGGGTTGGGGGAGGGGGTGATCGGGTGGCGTTCACTGCGCATGCGTCACGGCGCGCGCGGTCCGCAGGCTGCGCAATTCTATCACTCGCTCAACTCTAGTTCTCATAACTTGGAAATTGATTGTGAAATACACCTTCTAAAACGGAGGGAGTGAAGTAGGTAATGATGGTTTGGTGGAGTTGCCTCTTTTAAACGAGTGATACACCGTCAAAGTTGGATATACATGGTACCGCAGTGCCCGTGTGACATGTGCTTTGCCATGAGGCCCTCGCTCTTATAGTACTAGCCTATAGAAAGTCAATGCCATTTACTAGTTTTCTCTTTTGAATCTGAATTATTATGCAGGCAATTAACTAATTCAATTATTTCTCCTCTCAGAAAACTCAGGAAAGATGGGAGTAGTTCTCTGGAGACTTTTCATCCATTGGACTTTCTTGACGTGAAGTGTGGTTGGTGTCAGTGTATTGTCAAAGTGCTTACAGTGCAGGTAGTATTATGTAATATCTACTGCAGTGGAGGCACTTCTAGCAATACACTTGGCCATTACCTTTGCCCTCATCCAAGCACCCTTCCTCACCAAGACGCCATACCCAACCATGGTAAAAATGTCCCAACAGGCTCAACCCAGGGTTTGAGTAGTAAAAATAACCCAGTGTTTTGAGTATAACGGCTTTGTGCTAAGGTGCATCTAGTGCAGATAGTGAAGTAGACTAGCACCTACTGCCCTAAGTGCTCCTTCTGGCACGAGGGACTGTGACTTGCATCCATATTTTTGAATGAAGTAATTTTTACCCCCCTTTTTTTTTGTTTTTTTGGTGCAGTTCTCTGCTAGTTTTGCATAGTTGCACTACAAGAAAACGGGAGTTGTGCAAATCTATGCAAAACTGATGGTGGCCTGCTGCTTCTCCACGTTTCCCAATTTTGATTTGAAATCTGAGGTGTCTTATTTTCCTTTGTTTCTTGTAAATAAACCTTCCAATGGTGTCAATGTGTTAGTTTCAGCAGTGCTAAAGTGCTTATAGTGCAGGTAGTATTTCTGTCATCTACTGCAGTGTGAGCACTTGAAGTACTTCTAGCTAAATGCATCTGGGATCTGAAGACTTTTGCTGGCACTCCCAGGGTCTCTATACACTCTCTGTAACTGCTGGACCCCGGTCAGTTTTGCTGGTTTGCATTCAGCTTTTAAGACAGCGCTGTGCAAATCCATGCAAAACTGACCGTGGCAGCACACATCCGAGAACATCTTTGGAGCTGTTTGGTCCCTTTCTGCACAGGTTGGGATTGGTAGCAATGCTGTGATTGGAAGGTATTGCACTTGTCCCGGCCTGTAGAGGATTGAGGAGATTGTACCCCACAAGTATGGTTTATTTTTTGTTGGAAGTTCCAACATGTACATAAACATGCTTCTAAATGTATGCACGTATATAATATTCAATTGATTGGGTCTTGAAAATATTTTAATGACTTGTTGGACTTAAAACTTGTTAGACTTCAAATGTTTTTTTTTTTAATTGCCTATTCAATAAAAGATAAATAGGTACACTATCATACTGTTGTCTTTACTCTGTCATATGTTCTCACTGACTTTTACAGCATGCAAGATGTAAATGTGTGAAATCTGGGCTGTTAATTAACCATAGTTTAATTAGTGATTGGTTTGGTATTGACTTGGCTAATACTGGACTAACATGAACAGATAAATTTAACCCTGTTGTCCATACGCAGATCATTCGATTGGTTAAATCCAATTATAAAAATGCAGAGTAAGTAAAGTTATCCGGCATCCCTCTTAGCAAACATGCTTAATGCAGAGGTGTGGTCTTAATTCCTATTTGTAGGGGAGATATATATATGAAGAGTTAAGATGCAAAAACCTCTAAGTGCCATTTGAAATTTTCTTCTAGAATGAAAATTTTAGTTGTATATTTAAAGGTTGTATATTTAAGTTCAGTAATTTCACTTAAATTCCAATGAAGACCTATTAATTGTCATTTAAGTGAAATTACTGAACTTATATATACAACCTTGATAATTATCATTCTAGAAGAAAATTTCAAATGGCACTTTAAGGCTTTTGCATCTGAACTCTACATATATATATATATTTGAGATTATTGCATGGGTTGTGTGGAAGATTCCTTTCCTATGCTATGCATGGTTTGGGTTGATGAGAAATGCATAGTGTCTACATAAAGTAACCATTATTTACTGTGCATTTCTAGCTGAAGTTCTTTCTAATGGGACATTGCCATGGTGTGCAGTGGAATTCAGGGAGGTTTTGTGTGACCTGCTGTAAAGATGAGCAGTACTTTCATTTTTAAAAAGAGAACATGTTTTTTTTGATTATCCACAGTAAAGTAAAGCATGTCTAAGTATCCAAAGCCTTTAAATCTGCCTGATTAGAGATAATGGTGGTCTGTAGGCCCATGCAAAGTTTAAATCACAATGGAATTGACGCAGATTATCATTCACCCCAAAATTAAAATGTTGCAATTCACTCGCCTTCATGTCGTTCCAAGCCTGTAGTGAGTTTTTTCTTCTTCTGTTGAATACAAAATAGGCTATATTTTGAAAAATGTTCAGACGGTAGCCAAGTGTGTGTGTGTTTTTTTGTTGTTGTTGTTATTTTTTGTTTTTTTCAGGTCCATAAACTGTTACATTCTTCAAATTATCATTTGTGTTCAACAGAAGAATAAAAAACTCATACCGATCTTGAGCGTGAGTAAATTACTGTTTTCATTTGATGACTATACCTTTAAAGGCCCCGTTCTCGGAAATGAGGTAGGCCTTTTCCCTGGTGAAAGGAATAATGAGGATGTAGTCTAGTTCTTTAGGAAGGTAGAGTACGCGAGTAACTGTCCATATATTATTATTATTTTGTATCATACTTGATACCAAACTCAAACCAGAGTTATAAAACTAGTTTCAGTACTTGTCCAGTAGATGGCTCTATTGCAACCCATTTGAGGGACTTGCACTTCTCTGGGGAAAATGTTTTATTTCCAGAAATGTACGTTATCTATTATTTTGCGATGCTGATTTCAACGGCTCTTCAACCGAGCAGCTGTTGCTAGGGTTACCACCTCAAGCAAAGGCGATTTATGTTTACGAGCGTATCTATTTAGTGTAGTCTAACTTAGTTTATTATTATTATTATTATTATTAAGAATTTAAACTGTGTCTTTGTCTTATTTAGCTGTCAAATGTTCGGAAACTGTTGTGACACGACAAAACTAAATAAGCTGCTAGTAGCCTACGTAGTGTAGCATAGCCGACTACTTGTACGAAGCGCTTCGTAACGTTAGATCGTTCAGAAGCGTATCTTCTCTTCTACACTAATTCCGCCCATTCTCTCTTGACAGCTCCGTCTTTCACCAACACACTCATTGCGCTCGTTTTCCTGCGCGAGACCCTCCCCAAGAGACATGCTCAATCTCTTAAATATAAATTTTCTCCTAAAATCACCACTGGTTTCATTAAACAAGTTTTCCGAGATCTAAACGACACGCGCGCGTTTCTAATTTTTACCCGAACGGACAAACTCTTGAATTTGGATTGTGGAGATGGAGACGCGAGCTGTTTTGTTTTATTCCTTTTTAGCGGTTTTCATCGGTCCATGTTGGGGGACTTTAATGAACTGCGATGAAGTGCGTAAAGTTTTTCAACTCAAGCAAATCGGACCTGTAAAATCACTCCCTGAAACACCGAGAACAGGTAAGATCTGACCGAATTTGACATGATGCGCCTCTGATTTTGTCAATTGGTTTTTGTACGGAACAGTTTTAAACATCTATGTTTGTGGAAGAATCGCAAATAGCCTAATTTTTGTTATGCGGAAGTCTTAAAGCTTTTGAAATGTAACTAAAATTCAGCTCTGAATTAAAAGCGAAACCTCAGGTAAGTTAGGAAACTTTCCACATACATGTAAAAGATATGAATACTGTTATAAACTCCGCGACATTGACCCAACATCATTCATCTCTTGATATATTGACTTCAAATGACGCTTTCAAGATGTTTTAGACAAAATGATAGCCGTGGGGCGCGTTTAGAAGTTTGAGCTGCAATAATCATCGTCTCGAAACACTGACTGACGCACATTACTTTTCACATAAACTTTTCAATAATGAATGGTGTCTCATGGAGTAATTCTTCTAACAGCTTAAGGCAAGACACCCCTGGTGAATAGGGTACAACAAATAATTAACTACTAGATATCATCATATGTCTCCAGTTGACTGATTGAAGTATTGCAAAAGAAAAAAAACATATAAAAGGACGAAAATCAGGCAAATTATTGGTATAAACAAGCTCCTCTCAGATATAGATATGAATGAAACTGATGTAAAGCTCCTGCCTTTCTGGCTCAGTGCATGCAGAAGAAAAAAACTCATTTTGAGTAACGTTAAACGGCCTTTAAAGCGTATTTGAAAAATACAGACACAAACAGATAATGGCCAATAAAGTATGCACTTAAAAGTGTATTTGGGATGTTGTCTTTCCACAAAACAATTTATGAAAAGCCTAAAAGCCCGAAATTGACAATGCATAAACAAACAGCGTTTTTGTCTGCCGCCTCTACTACGTCCCCCGAAAGATTTTCCGTTTACTTTCATGAAAAACACATTTACTAAAATAATTTGGAAGTAGATCATCTGAAATTGGCTGGAAGATTGCAGCCGTTGCTTTTAAGGTTTGTAACTTATCCTGTAAGGAAATTGAGATAAATGGCACTGTGGAAATATTTCCTTGAGTAAGCTAATATGCTGTTGGTATATATATGCACAAGCAGGTTACAAAACGTTGAAATTGAGTTTTCATCACCCTCAAACTGAGATTTAAAGGGATACTCCACCCAAAAATGAAAACTCTGTCATCATTTACTCACCCGAATGTGGTTCCAGACCTGTAGGCTATAAGAGTTTCCTTTTTACTGCTAAACACAAATAAAATATTTAAGAATGTTGGTAAGGTTACCTGACATTCTTCAAAATATCTTCTTTTGTGTTTCAGAAATTTGGAAGAACTTGAGGGTGTGTAAATGATGACAGAATGTTCATTTTTAGGTGAACTGTCCCTTTAAAATCAGTTCAAAGTTTCCTCACTTCACTAGAGATCAATACTAATCTCAGTATACTTCAGAAAAGCTCATGCCACTTGACTGCAAAATACAACCATAATTAGTTGCAAATGCACTGTTTGGTTTAAACAGCTGTCATGTAAATCTCTCATGACTGTTTGGTTTGTGACCTCAGAGCCCATTGAATGGTCTTTGTCAGGTTGTTTGGATAATCATCCCATTTTGTTATTGCTGATCTGAAACTAGTTTTGTGACCTCTAATAATGGACGGTGATGGTCTTGCTCATTTCCAAAGAAAAGGGCTTTAACCAGTTTGACAAACTTTGCTTAATGGATGCTAAGTGGCTTGAGGAGAACAGCTTGTACACCACTCCCACAGATGTCATCAAATGGAGTTCACTTCAAAGTGCTGCTTGGAAGAGGTTACTTCTGAGTTTTACAGGAATTTAGAGCTGTGGTTTGCTATTAAACTTTTGCACAACTCAAAAAAAAAAACCTCTAAGAAAGGTGTTTCCTCGTTGCTCATCCTGAACTTCAGAGCTGTTAAACACAGGAGTTATTTTTCATGTTCAGTTTTACTTTCATAAGAGGTTATGAAATGATATTTGATTAGATAAATCAGTTAGTGAAGGTTGAATTGTGTGCATTTAACAGCCTCTTAAATGCATTTGTTCACAAGTTGGATGTCTTGACATGGGCCACAAGTTCATCAGGTTTGTTTCTCTATAGCTTTTCAGTAACTTGCAGAATAATGTAACTCTTCCTACATTGGTTTCTGTCTTCTTTAATTCATTTTGTTCAGTAATTTCCTAATGAACTGATTATTCAGTTCATCTGGATTTAGAGAAAACACGTTTAGAGAAAACATTAAAGGGATAGTTCACTTTGAAATCAATTTTTGGTATGTTTTAGCTTACCTCAAGGGCATCCAAGCAGTATTTTCAATTTTGATATTTTTAGGTCAAACCGTTCTTGTCTGTCAGTCATATAATGGAGGTCTATGGTCACCACCTCAAAGAGCATGCACAGAGAAGTCCAAATTAAAGATGATTTAATGACTCGTAAATGTAAGTACACATTGTTGGCCTAAGACACTAAACGAGCGCTTTGTGTGAGAAAAAAAAAAAACAGTATTTATATCGTTTTACCTCTTGTAACCACAAAGCACCCGTGCCCTCAGATCACTTGGACGTGGCTGTGGTTACAAGAGGTAAAAACATTATAAATACTGTTCATTTTCTCACACAAACCTCTCGTTTCATGTCTTAAACCATCAATGTGTACTTACATTTACGAGTCATTAATCATGTTTAATTTGGACTTCTCTGTGCATGCTCTTTGAGGTGGTGACCATAGACCTCCATTATATGACTGATAGACAAGAACGGTTTGACCTAAAAATATCAAAATTGAAAATACTGTGGAAACAAAGACACCTACATCTTGGATGCCCTTGAGGTAAGATAAAACATACCAAAAATTAATTTCAAAGTGAACTATCCCTTTAATAAATTCATTGTTATTGGCATATTGTTGAATTCCTTTATACTTTTATATTTATATCTGCAGAAACAGGTGCATGGTTTCATGCTTTCTATTCTGCTCATCATGATAAATGTGCAGTGACTGAAATGTTATCCATGACAGACTAAGTTTGACCTTGTTGAAGGTGTTTGCTCATCATCATTTTGTTTTCTACGACACAATATATTGTGTGCCGCCAACAAAGCTTTAGATGGACTCTTTTTGCCATCTTTCCCATTTTTTTTCCTTCAGTTTTCACGTAAAAAAAGCAATGTGTTTAAAGCACTCTATTTTTATTAGTCTACCTGACCGGTTTGGTTTTATTAAAATGGAGCAAAGAATTGTGTTTGAAGTTAAGACATTCTTGAAGGTCATACTTTCTAAATGCTGCGGGAACTTTCTTCTCTTTGCTTCCGATCTTGGATGTTAGTAACGGTGCGAGCTGTTTGATGTCCGGCAAGCCAATTATACCCCACACCACAACCACATGACCCCTCGTAAGGGCTAAGGTCCTGAAACATCAAATAAACTTGAATAGAAAAGTAAAAATAGTCACATTGACATTTAAATGTGATTCCTCAAAGGTGTTTATTTCTGCACGTTAACATTACTCTAGCATTGAAATGCATGCCAGACATTTTTCTTGTTAACTACGCCTGTTGTAATCCTAAGGCCATTCACAGACGCTTTCATGACCCCTGAAACAAACACGTCTGCTAGCAAAGCCTCACAGTGCATTTGTTATGTTTTGATCAATCTTGTTTTTTTTGTTGTTGTTGTAAATCCTCCATAATGCCATATAAGAAAGTGCTGGGGATGTAAGGCTATCTAAGAAACACAGTATTATCTCTTATTTGAGTTTTGTAAATGTATGGCCCTGTTTACACAACCCAATCACACTAAATGCGTCTTTATAGCACAGTTTGTCATGCAATACACTAAAGCGAGTTTTTACATCCATAGGATATGCATGGGTTGGTTAGGTAGTGTTGTGGGGTGTGTGTGTGTATTACACGCGTATCAAATGCATGCGAAAACTGCGTATCAAATGCACGTAAAAACTCATTTTCACGTATTGCATGACAATACACAATGCATGTTATAGAGACACATTTTAAGATGCGTTTTGTTCGATCGGATGACAAGTGGATGAGGCAGACACATACCTATTTACATCTAGTGTTTTAATCCGTCTCTTTTGTCCACTTTCAAAGAATTTTAATTACTTCTGATGCAAATTATGATAATGGGGCTGATTATAGCTACTTTGCTTAAATCTATGTTATGCCTCAATACACTTTTACCATACTGTATGATTTGTAAACTTTTATTCACAATAAATTGCATGATTGCTTCAGCAAATCGTTTGCTTTTGTTAGGTTGTATGCTAATTTTATGTATAGACGCTTTCATCAGACGCGTTGCCATGGTGATGAGCTGGCCCAAAGTTAACTTCCGTTCTGTTCGTTTATTAGCGTTTACTGGATAATATGGCATTGACTACAAATGCAGTGAAAGTTAAGGTGATGAGCAGGTTGTTGAGCTGTGGGGTGCAACCTGACCTAGGAAGCAAACGCATTTTTTAAAAATAAAAATGTCAAGGTTTCCTATGAGGGAGACGGCGGTATTAAAATAGCCTATGTTTATCTGAGTGATAACCGGTACAGTGTTTCCCATACATTTGTGGCAGTCCACCACATTATCAGCGCTGACCGCCACATTGATTTCCGTGTTTTTAACAATTTAAGATGGGAAAAGTTGTAATTGACTGCAAAGTTGCGTGCAGCGCATATTCGCACGCTCTCTCTCTCTCTCTCTCTCTCTCTCTCTCGCAAACACATTGACAGCGGACCAGTCTGTGTATTGAATGGTTAGTATCATAAACAGCGCTGCACAGATCCATCCAACATGCTGTCAATGTGGAGACCCACCTTAAAAAAGGTTAGCAAGCATGTAAGAAGCCTAGCTAATAAGGAGAGCTATGTTAACCTTATCAAACCCCGCCGTCGCGCTCGCCACAGTTTTTTTAACACTGCGGTAAATCAGACACGTCGGTAGAACATCTTGTCTCCAATTTTGTTCAACGGGTCTGGCAGTGTCACATTTCAGTTTGGCCAGGTAACATTTATTTTCTTTGACTGGCAAGAAATACCAGCTACTAGATTATTTACTTGTTATGGATTGTCTCCGCAAGTCTGCCGGAAGTTAAGTTTGGGCCAGATTAATGCACATGCGCAGTACCGTTTGTTTATGTTGTCACTGCTGAAAGCGTCTATGCTAAGTGTTGCGAAACATTGTAATATCATCTTGCAGATATATAGGCTTTTCCCCTGAGCAAGGAGATCCTCTATCTGTGGTGTATCCCTTCTTTCAGTCATCTCCAACAATTCCCAAATCTCACAGCCTGTTGGATCATGTGAAACCGGGGCAAGGAAGGAGGGTGTAAAGTTCACAGTTGGATGGATTTATTCTCTCAGGTGACTACACTGAAACATCTAGCAGGTTGTGAGTGAGAAATAAACACTTCCAGGGGCGCTTTCATTTCGCTCTAGCGAGACAGAGACGAATTCCTTTCCTTACGCCATCTCCTTTGCATCTCGCTCAGGAACTCACAACATTGCGTCACGGCGTGGTGATAGTGTCTTTGGCAACATTTGGCTCGTCCCGGCACGTCCCGTTCTGTTTCCCTAGCTATAGCCCCCCTGGGTGTTGTCATTTGCATTGACCTTTTTGGGAGAAAAAGTTTTTTTTTTTTCCTTATGTAGTGACGGAAAGTTTTTTGTTGGAGATATCAAGCCCTATCACCCTCCCCACCCTACTGGCCTGCTGCAGCTTGCATACATGTGGAGGTTTGTGGCCACCCGGTGGGAGTGTGAGTCTGATAATGGTCCTTAACATGAGTGCATTTGTGAACCTTTGTAGTTCATGTATGTTTGTGATGTCTCTCGTTATATGAGTTTGTACTTTATTGTTGATGCTGCTTAAATTGCCCTGTGAAGGGACAAAAAAGACCACTATTGCTACTCTTAGTAATAGGGCTGTCAAACAATTAATCGCGATTAATCACATCCAAAATAAAATATTTGTGTTTACATAATATGTGGGTCCACTGTGTAATTATTTTATATACGTATATAAATACATATGCATGTATATTTAAGAAAAAAAAATATTTATATGTAACGGAGGCCAGCTAGTAGTTGCTGTGCGAGTAAACCTCACTCCCCTGGTCTCAATAGGCTTTTTTCACAGTCTATGGACTCAAGGGAGCAAGAGGGCGCACATACTTTGTTTCAAACTGTGCAGCGTGCGTGCGACAGAGCAAGAGAATCCTTGCGCATGCATACTAAAAGCATAACCTGTGGGGAAAACGGCGTTTAAAACCTTATTTTGGGGCAAAGTCATCAAACTTTTTCAGCGATTTTTTTTTATTTTTTTATCATTTTGTACTGCTGTTTCTATACATGCAGTTTTTATGTCCCGGTGACCAGTGACAGTGCAGTTTTGACTCTGCCCATTCATTTAGATAGGAGCCTGGTCTTGTTAAGTCCGAAATAGCTGCCCGGAGGCATTGCCAAGATGGCGGCCGAGTGGCACGACTTGCCTAAACGGACTTTGGTTTTACCCAATGTTGAACAATTTTCAACTTTCGGCGACTACTAAAAAAACAAGCGCCCGGCGCTTCAGCGCGGAAAAAAAAAATGCTCAGCGCCTACGCTCATGGCGTTTAAAAGCGCCAGGCGCGTGGAAAAATGCTTTGGTGGACACACGGCCTAAGTAATTTAATTTGTTTTTACATTTCCTTTTATAATCAATTTTTATAAAGCCAGGTGTAAATCATGAGTCTTACCATTTTGGAAAATAAAAGCACACCTACATTTAATTCTAATTATTATACAGAATTTTTGTTGTTCCTGGAAGTCTAGTGAGCAGGTTTGTTCAAGTAAAACCACAGTCTTATGAGTAAAACAAAATTGGTCACACTTTAGTTTAATTTCTCACTATTATGCCTCATAAAACTCCTAATTACTGCTTAATAATAGTTAAGTAGTTGTTAAGTTTAGATATTGGGTAGGATTAAAGCGTAGTCCCCCCCCCAAAAAAAATAAAAAAAAAAAAAAATAATAATAATTATACACTCTAAAAATGCTGTTTTTTTTTTAACCCAAATATACCTAAAATATGGACAAACGCAGCCTTTGGGTTAAATTTTTAAATGAGATTTCTAACCACACGTTTGGGTTGGTCCATATTTGACCCCAAATTGTTTAAACCAACCCAGCATTTTTTTTAGAGTGTACTTACTGCCCCTCAACATGTTTCAAACCTGAATGAGTTTCTTTCTTCTGTTGGACACTAAATAATATTGTTGGTCACAGTTGATGGACCCAATTAACTTCCATAGAAAAAAAAAAAAAACATACTATGGATGTCAGTTTACTGATTGCTCTTTAAATATACTGAATCTTTCTGGCATCACAGCTACTAGTTTTTCTGTCTGTAAAAATTACATATTAGAGATGCTTGCCCTCATAAGTACCAATTAATCTAACGATCATTCTATATGACTTAAATGCACATTACCACCATAATTAACAATCCTAAACTTTGTTTGTTTATCCCGACAGGTTCAGACCTCCAGGTTTGTTTATCAAAAAATGTGACGTGCTGCACTAAGAAGATGGAGGAGCGTTACCAGGTGGCGGCACGACGGGACATCCAGAACCTTCTCCAGACATCCAGCTCAAGTCTGAAGTTCCTCATCTCTCGCAATGTGGCTGCGTTTCAAGGTCAGTTCATTGATTTTTAGAGACTAGCAGTAGCACTGGTATATTGTCTGCAACTCTCAGTAAACACTTCCTGAATTCTCTTACCACATATTGTGTGTTATGCTGCATTCATGTGCTATGGAAAGTAGGATATTTTCCCATTGTGAATTGGTATTTTCTCCAGTGTGTTGCGTTCAAGTGCTTTTGTTGTCGTAATGTGGTAAAAAGATGGAGATCCAGACCTGTTATTTAGCTAAAACTATTTTAGATTGCTTAAGTCATATACAACAGCAAGAAAATGATTTATCAAAACTCAAAAGGTAAATAAAATGCTCAATATTTTCTAGATCATGAATAATATATATTTTTACAATTCACGACTCTTGCATTGCTCTCCGCCATTTTGAAAAGTTCAAAGGTTTTCTCATCTCGGCAACTCGTCCATCAAAATATTCTACGAGTTGCCCAGTAGGAAATACCACATGAGGGGGTGTTCATGTGCATTTTCCACGTCGGCTTTTGGTATTTACCATAATTACCATAGTACATGAACGCAGCATTATTCTTTAGTTTATAAGCTTATAAGATCAATTGTACAGTTTATCCAACACCTTAGAGTCGCTTCATGCTTGGCAGGTTGTAGTGCTGTTGTTTGGTATGATGTCAGTTTTATTCCAGACATTTTACTACAGTAAATATATTTTTTCCTGAGACCCACAATATGTGATTTAGTCCCCTGGTGGCTCTCCAAGGGCTTAATTCAGCTGCTTTTCAGTAGAATTTCAGGTTTGCCAGTGTACATTTAAGGGTTTTCAATGAATGGCTTCCTTGATGAGCTGTACACCAAGATGCTTGTTTTGAGGCCTTAATGAAACCCTTCACAGCTTCATAATGTTAGGTCATAGGAGCCTACGCACCTTTGCGGAGGAGGGTATCCTTCATTTGAAGCAAATGACAAACCCGGATAACCTGTAATCACCCATAAGTGCTGATGCAAGAAGATGCACCGATCCTGACAAAAACCTCTCTATGTCGTCTACTCTACGGCGTATTCTCAGCAGAGCCTCTCTCTCAGGTTTCACAAAGGTGGTTAGTCAGTCAGTTTGTAGCTAGCAGCTCATGATGGGTCGGTTCATTGTGAGTGTGTGGAGGTCGTGCCAAGAGAGTGAAGATTAAGAGTCTCCATTACAGTAAAAGTGAAGTGTCACTTTTTATGCTGACTTTGAGAGTCACAGAGGTTTTTGTTTGAGCGAGTGAGATGATGCTTTACAGTTCACTTTGAAATAAAGTTTTAGTATGTTTTAGCTTACCTCAAGGGCATCCATGATAGGTAGGTGTCTTTGTTTCCGCAGTATTATCAAATTTTATATTTTTAGGAAATATAATGGAGGTCTATGGTCACCACCTCAAAGAGCATGCATAGAGAAGTCCACATTAAATATGATTTAATGACTCGTAAATGTAAGTACACATTGATGGTCTAAGACACGAAACAAGCGGTTTGTGTGAGAAAACGAACAGTATTTATATAGTTTTTACCTCTTGTAAAGGGCGTGGGCGCTTTGTGGCTACAAGAGGTAAAAACGATATAAATACCGTTCGTTTTCTCACACAAACCGCTCGTTTCGTGTCTTAGGCCATCAGTGTGTACTTACATTTACGTGTCATTAAATCATGTTTAATTTGGACTTCTCTGTGCATGGTCTTTGAGGTGGTGACCATAGACCTCCATTATATGACTGATAGACACGAACGGTTTGACCTAAAAATATAAAATTTGAATATACTGTGGAAACAAAGACTTGGATGCCCTAGAGGTAAGCTAAAACACACCAAAAATTAATTTCAAAGTGAACTATCCCTTTAATCAGCAGATACTAGATCATTATCATTGATAACCAATGCAATTGCCATCTCTGTAGTTTTTCAAAAGGCAATTAAATATAACAGCAGCAATTACGGAAAATGATTTTTAACTATGGTTACTGATATACTTCTCGAACAGCTTTGCATTTCATCCCATGTTTTTATGTAAAATTATCTTTTTGACTCTCGTCTTTGCATTGCTGAGTTGCGACGCAGGTGTAGACATGCTTCTGTTTACTGCCTACTTTGCTAGACAACATTACTGTGAGAGTTTCCCTCACAATCGAGACTATATCATTAAACCAAACCTCTTGCATAATTTCACTTGTGGTTTAGCGCCCGTTTTATCTCAAAGCAAGACCTGTTATATCACATCATTTGGAAGAATGGTATTCAGGTGGCCATAAAAACATTTTGCACGTTTTGTTGGGCGTGAACTCGGGAAGAGCCCTGATGGTGTCTAATCACAAGACTCATTTTATGAGATTAGGCCCATATTACAGGGCCCGGTCCCAGCCTTCTACTGTCTAACTAGCTATTACCTCTTGCCTATGGTACTGAACCCTGTTGTCATAGAGTAGGTATGAAAACAAGGGATGAAACACAGCTGTACACAATATGTTTGAGATGGGGATGCAGAATGTAACATTTACCCTATTGATGATATTGCCAAAAATGTTCACCGTTGGCCGAATTAGGCTAATATTGGAAGCAGACGATATTATTTTGAAATGGCAATATGCATATGATTTTATGCATTCCTTTATTTTCACATTGTTCTATAAGGGAAAACACTGTATTATGGTTTGAAAATGCAATCAAAATTCAGCCAAAAACCTTTTTCTCAGGCTCGGCGCATTTGCCTTAGTGTATATTTACCCTATTGGTTATCAATAAAGAAGGTTTTGTTGGAAATCCTTCCCATCCTATTTTTTTATTTCTCTTTTTCCATGTGTTTTGCGTCTTTAAACAATGAATGCGCAATAACGTGCTGAAATTACAGCGACATCTTGTTTTACTTGCTTTGATTTTGGTGGTCCAGTGAAATGTGGGTTTACCAATTTTATGAGGTTAGACAGAGCCCATATTATAATGCTGTTGGTTTTTGAGGAACATAAATAGTTCTGCCTTTGAAACAAATGGGCATATTTTCCTAATTAAGCTTTAGATGTGTTCAGTATTGTAAGGATTTGGTCTGCAACCATGGGATACTGTGAGAATTGAACCACAAGGTGATGGTCTGGTTACCTACATGACGTGTTTACGTTTTAGACTATGTTCTACTTCCCCATTGTAAACCAGGCGGTCATGTGTGAACAGTGAGGGCCGTTTATTTGCACAATTGATACTGTGGAAAATTCCCTCTATAAAGGGGTACTGTTTGTCCATGTATACGTTAGATATTAATATAACCCACCTGTTACCAACAAGTCTAGCAAAACGTGTGACAATTGAGCATATTTTCTCCTCTCCAAAATCAAAATTAAAGGGATAGTTCACTTTGAAATGTATTTTTGGTATGTTTTAGCTTACCTCAAGGGCATCCAAGATGTAGGTGTCTTTGTTTCGGCAGTAGTTTCAATTTTGATATTTTTAGGTCAAACCGTTCTTGTGTGTCAGTCATATAGTGGAGGTCTATGGTCACCACCTCAGAGAGCATGCACAGAGAAGTCCAAATTAAACATGATTTTATGACCTAAGACACGAAACGAGCGGTTTGTGAGAAAACGAACAGTATTTATATCGTTTTTACCTCTTGTAGCCACAAAGCACCCGTGCTTTCAGATCACTTGGATGTGGCTGAGGTTACAAGAGGTAAAAACGATATAAATACTGTCCGTTTTCTCACACAAACTTCTCGTTTTGTGTCTTAGACCATCAATGTGTACTTACATTTACGAGTCATTAAATCATGTTTAATGTGGACTTCTCTGTGCATGCTCTTTGAGGTGGTGACCATAGACCTCCATTATATGACTGACGGACAAGAACGGTTTGACCTAAAAATATCAAAATTGAACCTACTGTGTAAATTAAGACACCTACATCTTGGATGCCCTTGAGGTAAGCTAAAACATACCAAACAATTATTTCAAAGTGAACTATCCCTTTAAAACAAACACCAATACGCATTACAGAAATTGGAAATCGGCTTAATTTTGCAAATGCTCTGAACAATAGGGCTTATTTTCTTCATGCATTTGTGATTTTGAGGTGAATTACAACCTTATTTGTCATATTGCATGCAGATTATTGTGTGGTTGTTGTTTATCATCCTTTGAACTACTGGTTAAAAGTTGCAGGTCTTAGGATGGTGGTTTATTCCAACCTGGTAAGATTAACAGTTGTGGTTCCCATGGAGCGATGGCAAACCTCTCTCGGAGTGAAAGAGAGTTGACCAGCGTCTCTCTCAGTGGGCAGCAGTGTATTTGCACATTGTTTTGAGAGCGTTTACGAGTCGAGGTTAAAGACAAACACACTCCTGTGGAGCTGGAGTCGCGGCCTCTCAGTCGGCTGAAGGTAGCTTGTTGAAAAGGCTGTCGGGTAGACATTTTCCACTTATGTTTTCGTCCTATTTATTTATTTTTTGCTTTCCCTGCATTGCCAAATGACATCAAAGTGAGCTCTGCTTCAGGAGGAGAGCTGATGCATTCGGCAGGTGATGCCGGAAACAGCAATCCGTTTCGAGACGGAGGCTGAGATAAGAGGAAAGATGTTTTTCTTAAGAGAGCGAAATTGCACTGTTGAGTGAGCAAAATACCTGGAAGCCACTTGTTGAAAGAGTTGAGTGAGGAAAAATTGCCAGAATTTGTGAGGAAGCCTTTGGCTTGTTTAGTTTGATTCAAAGCAAATCTCATGGAAAGTGGGAATCATCATTTTGGGAGTTATGGATTTTTTTTTTTTCTGCCAAAGTTACTGATGTTTTGTGGTTTTGTAACATGTTAAATTGTGGAATTCCCTGGGAAAGATGTCACAAACGAGATCTCACTAAATCAAAGATTTGTAAGTTGTTTACCTTCTGAAGAAGTCCACATATAGAGATCTCAGCAATGCCTCATGCTCAACTCAGATTTGCAATCTCCTATCAAAAGTAAGAGATCCCAATCCGAACTCAAACATTTCTGTTCATATTCTTCCATTCATTTTTTTAGCTC